ATTTAAAAATTTGAAAGATTTAAGTGATTACTGTCAGGGTTATAATAAAAAGCTGATCTGTTACGTAATCGATTCTTTATTTGTTGATTTTTACACTGCTATTTCAATCTTGATGAATGTTCTGCATCAGTTTCTTGACGCTCAAAATTGTAAGCGTTAACAGCATTTGAAGTTTTGATTCTAATTCGCCCTCTTGTGAACTGAAGGATGGTTAAAACTTTTGTGAGCCCTAAAGGCTGTTTTTTGTCAACTTTGTTACGTTGTTGGCAAGGTAGTTCGACGTTCAATGGCTCTCTAAAGAACCGGTAAGCTCAAATCTTTTTTTAATAAGGTTTCCAGCTGACATGGCTGCCTGGATACCTTAGGGTGATCTTCTCTGGCCTCCTATTGTAGCATAAGACTGATCAGGAGGAACACTAAAACATCAGAAGCGTTAGAACTAGTTGTACAGCTCTTTTCCAACGTCTCCTGGCATTACACTGGAGACGTCAGTGTCTAAAGCATATTTTTTTCGCAGAGCTAGGTTGTTTTGGTAATCTAAGGTGAGGAGATTGGTTCGTGATGCTTGCCCGTTGGAGACTGCCCGTTTGCTCGAGTCTATTTAACTATTAAAGCTGTTGAGTTCGCCCAGCGCAGACCTCAAAGAGGATCGGTGATTCCTGGTTAAATACTTAGAGTCAAGAGGGTAATGTTGGGTTGTCGGTCACTGGGATTCCCTGCCTTGCGATGAACCACTCCGTTCGTGACATCTGCCATTAAAAGACTGACTTAGTTTACTAGTGGCCGGCTTTATTTGTCTTTAAGCCGACAAATCGTTGCCGAAAATGGTAGTAATAATGTTTTTGTTGGTAAGGTAGTTTAACGTTTGGTGGCAATAAAAAGAACCGATGAGATTGATGGTTAAGTGGGAAATGTAGATACTTACCGTGTTGGAAGTAGGTACGCTACTGACCAAAGAATATCTCCTCTTAGGGTCGTTCCCTGAATAACCAACCACTCATCATTAGTTGGTAAAGTGGGTCTGGAGAATACCTTCTTTGTGGGTATGCCGTTGGGACGAACCATTGAGAAGAAGGCAGTTGGAGCTGCCAAAACTACTCAAGGTTATTTTTCCTGACTTGCTGTTGTCGCATAATCTGTTATGGTAGCACCAGCTTGGATGAAAGAGTGGCCATGAAACCTTAAAATGCTAAAGCAAACTGTGCTCTGGCTAGACGTCTCCTGGTATTTTGTTGGATGTTAGCATTCAGAGCACCTTTGAATTGGTGACACTCATCAATCATGGTTGTTTGGGATACAGTTTGACGTAAATTATTTGTAGAAAAGAGTGTTGTCGATAGCTGGGATACCCAGCTTCACGACTCTCAGCTCTATGCTTTATGTTCGGTCGATGAACGACTGTAGTAATCGGTATCTTACTGAGGAATATTATAACCAGACTGACTTAATTCTGTTGCAGGTAGCTTCTGTTTAACTTTTACGCCACCTAGAGGATCTTCCTGAACGAAAATGAAAAGCTAGCATATTTTTGCAAACTTTTGAGCTTATTGATTGCTATTGTTATTAAGTTTCTCACAATAAAAACTATACTTAAACCATCTAGGAAATGTCAAGAATCAGTATGCAAAAGTTCAATAAGATCGGTTGAGTAGTTTTTGCGGTTAGCTATTACAACGGTTTTAGACTTTTCTTTATATATTAGTAAGATAAGGAGATGTGTATGTGTATATGTATATTAATAAAATGTTAACTCATGCAGAAAGTTAATAAAAAGTTAGAACAGAAATTATATAAACAAGATCAATCATGTCATTAGTAAAATTAAAAATTAACAAGTTTGGGACATTATTATTATTACTATTATTATTCTTTTAATTATCATCATTATTACTATAACAATCATCATNTTGAGAGTAGATGTTGTTTTTTTACTTGCATCTTTGAAATTTTTAGGAATATAATAATATAATAGCATATAAAAAGCTCTTGTTAGTGAAGATCCAATTTAATTTTTTAAAAGTGACATTCATTTTCAATGTACTAAAAATTAAAATTTCTTGATACATTTCTGAATATAGCATGGTTACAGTTTGTATACAGTTTTATTTATAGATTTTGCATTATTATTTATAATTTATTTACAACCAGATTTTTTCCCACAACCACAGAAAAATTTGACCATTTTTATTATTTTACTGACACCGTTTAGTAAGCAAATATATAAACTTCATATTTATATATAATTATAAGGACTTTCCTTACGTATAAGGCTTATTAATTTGTTAGTGACTATCGTTAATATTGATTTGCTTGATGCACTTATTTGTGTAGGTAATCTACCAGCTCAACTTAAAAAACAGTTATATATTTATATTTTCATTCTCGTTCTCTCTAAACACTATCAATAACGCCTAGGTATATATAAATGTATCTTCTTATATTTGTATGTCATTTGTATCTTTCTATGTACGTTTATCTTTCCGTGTTATATAGTTCTTTTAAGAAAGGTTTTTCAAACCTCTCCACAACTTTTTTCAAAACCTTTCTTCTTCCTGCTAAACTCTCATCACCTCCGAATATATCTCCGTATATTATATAGTTGTATTGACGAAAGTGAGTCTCAGCCCACCCCCCGCTCCCCCTCAGCTCATCCTCGATTTACGTAGTTATTTGCTTGTTTTTCCGTCATTTTTGATCAAATTATATTTGAGTAAGCACCCCCCCCCGCTGCCTCTCAGATCCCACTCGCTCCCCCTCCACCTCTCCCCCAAAAATNAATTGTTGAGCTTCTAATATTTAATATTGTTACTAAATTAACAATAGCCATTATTTACACAACTCTATGTAATATGATAATAAGAGCTTTTTTTTAATTGACGTTTTTTATTCATTTTGTTGAAACAATTTATTAGAAATGTAGAGCATTTTTACGTGTGAACTTAAGCTGCTACGTAAAGCAAAAAAAGCTATTGTTTACATGAATTCAAAGAATAACAGAATAATAGATAGCCAGTTTCAACAAAAATAACATAAAAATACGTAATATGAAAGCTTAGGTTCAGTAAGGGTATTTATAGTTAATATTTAATATTAACTAAGACCAAACTGCAGGTTTAATCCCAAACAGCTCTTTTTTTCCTTTTTTTCCTTATTTTATCATGTATAAATATTATTATGCTCTAGCAGTTTGATAGAGTCATCAAAAATTGAAATCAATTGTTGTCGCAAAGGTTAAATTATGTTAACACCTTTAGATCAACACACGAATGCAATAAGCAGCTTTTATTCAGTAACAGTAACTTTCGGTAGCTGATCAAGCTGTGTAATAGTTTGTTTTGTTTTACAACATTCAATACAAATTTATTGCAAGAAAAAAATGAAGTTCATAATGTAAAATAATAAGGTCCAGTTATTTTTTTCACTTCAAAGGTTCAAAGTAAAAAGTCAGTTATTTGTTTGGAAAGATATTATTAATAATGTATCAACATTAAAGAAAAAGTTAGTTAAAAATCACATGAAAATTTTAAAATAAAATTTCAAGAAAAATTCAAAAATTCAAAAATTTAAATATTAATCTCCTTTCTTTAATTTGTCCTTTTAAATTCTTTCATTCTTCTTTCTTCACTGCACTATTTCTTTTCTTCTTCCTTGTCTTGCAATAGTTACATGTCTCTTCTTTACTATAAATTTTCTTCATTCTTCTTGTCTTTTATTTTTTTTCTGCTTTCTTTCTTTTTCGGATAACACGTCTTAGTGACTCTATATCTTTTGCATCATGGCTTAGTAATTTCTCTATTTCTTCCTCATTCCCCGTATCTCTACAATTCTTTAATATGTGTCTATAATCTTCTTCTTCTTCTTTGCATAAACTGCACTTCTTATCCTCCTCTCCTTTCCAATACTCTCTACCCCTACATTCGTTTCCGAACCTAAATCTTGCTACTAGTTTCCTATCCTTAACTGGCATATCTTTTTTCAAATATCCTGGTTCTTTCTCTGTTCTTATATCTTAATATACCTTGTTGTACCAAGAATCCTTTAACTTTTCCGTTCTCTTCTCTTTTTCTTTTCTTTCGTTGTTTTTTAAAATTTCTTCTCTTTCTTTTTCTTTCAATTCCACCCCTTTCATACATCTTATTTCTTTTATATTTTCTTCACGTAGCATTTCCGCTCTTTCTTTTGATTCTTTTCCTTTTTTCCATCTTTCTTTGTCCTTATCCTTTTCTCTTATACATTCCATAACTAATTTTATGTCTGAATCCCTAATTTTCTCTTCTAATTTTGACGCTCTCCTAAGCGCCTTTGTACTCATCTTTTCTAATCTACACTCCTCCTCTACTATATAATTTGGCGTATTGCTATCTAGTCCTAATATCCATTTTATATATCTTCTTTGTACACTTTCCAGCCTTTCTTCTTCCCAACCCCATACTTCTGCACCAAACAACGCTATACTTTCCACTAGTGCTGTAAATGATTTTCTTCTTCTATAGTAGCTATTCTTCAATATTCTATCACCTACGCTTCATGCATTTTTTATAGCGATCACTGCTTTCCTCTTCCTTTCTTCTACATGTCTATCATTCTTCCCATTTTTCTGTAGTATATATCCTAAATACCTTATTTCATCTACTTCTTCCAATTCCTCACTTCCCCACTTTCATCTTCTATTTTTTCCCTTTCTTTTTTTTAAATACTAAAATTTTTGTTTTTTTTTGCTTAAAATCATTTTCTTTTTACAGATATACCTCTTGAATCTTTTAAGCATCTTTTTTAATTCTTCTTCTCTATCTGCTATTAATACCACATCATCCGCGTAAGACACACTCCATATTTTTTCATTACCAACTCTGCATCCTCTCACTTGCCCTCTCTTTAATTTCTCCTCCAAGTCCGCTAGATATATATTAAACAGCGTTTGGCTCAGTGGACATCCTTGCCCCACACCTTTCTCTGTCCAGAATTCCTTTGATTCCTCCCCACCTACTATAACTACATTCCTATTTATGGATATCCATAATCCTATTTCTTAGCTTCTCGTTCACCTTCATCTCTATTAATCTTTTCTCTAAAACCTGTCGTTCCTTTCTATCAAATGCTTTATTTAAGTCTATAAAACAGGCAAATATTTTTCCTCTTGCTTTGCTTAATTTTTCATCCACAATGTGTTTCAGTGTGTATATCGCTTCTATTACTGCTCTCTTTTTTCTAAATCCAAACTGACTTCTGCTAATTAACCTTCAATTTCCTTCATCAACATCTTATTCAACAAACTTGCATAAATTTTGTATGCTGTGCACGTTAATGTAACTCTTCTATAATTTTCTAACTTATCTTTATCATCTTTTTTGTGAATCGAGCATATCACTTCTCGTTTCCATTGCTCTGGTAATTCTCCTTCTTCCCATATTTTCTTAACCAGTTTGCAAAGGGCTGCATTTACTTTGCTAGCCATGCATTCCATTCTTCGTTTTCTAGCTTATCTTCTCCCGGTACTTTTCCTATTTTTAACCTCACAATCTGTCTCTCGAATTCTTCCTTGCTCAACTCTTCCTGATCCTCTGTATTTTTCCTTCCTTCTTCTTTTCTTGTATCTTCTCTTCCGATTTTTTTCTTCATCCTTCCCATCTAACTTTTCCATAAAATACCTTCTTCACTCTTCCACTGTAATCTTTTTATCTATTTCATTCCTTGGTTTTTTTCTGAACCTTCCGATGTTGTGTTTTTCATCTTTCCTTCTTCTAATCTTTCAAACCTTTTCCTTTTTGCTTCGCACCAGTTTCTGTACTCTCTTTTCTTATCCATATAATATAACTCTTTTCTATAACTCCTTGAATAAATCCTTTCTATTTTCTTCTTTCTCCACATCTTCATTATACTTCTAAAATTTCTCTTTAATATCTCTTTCCATTCGTTATCGTACCATTTTATATCTCCCAATTTCCACACTTTAAACGGTTTTTCTACCTTAGGTAACGCACTCTCTATTCTTTCTTTTAATTCTTCCATCTTCTTTCCACCTCTTTTTCTTTCCACTTCCAGGCCTTACATCCTTCTCCATACTGATCGATCATTTCTTGAGTCCAATCCCTCCTTGCTGTTATCCTCTCTTCTGTTCATAATTCCTACTTCTAGTTCCTTTTCTAAATACACCTCTAATGGCATATGATCCGATTCCGTTCTTTGTCCTATTTTCATTTCTTTTACCTGATCTATGACTTCTTGATTCCCAATTGCATAATCTATTACAGATTCCCCTCTGCTGCCAACGTATGTGAATTCACCTCCTTCTTCTTTTTGCCCATTTATTATACACCATCCTTCTTTTGTTATTTCTTTCATTAGTCTTTCCTCTTCCTCATTTATCTTCTCGTCTTTTAACTTTCTTACCTTTATTTTCTTGTCGCCATCCATTTCATTAATTCATCCTCCTTTTTTTGCGGTTCTGGCATTCCAATCTCCCAGAATCAGGACACTTCCTCTTTCCTTTGTTTTTACTTTCTCTTTTGTAATTTTCATCGTCCCTTCTACGTTTGACTATATCCTCTTAAGATTTTCTACTCCTGATTTCCGTATTTTATCTTCTGCTATATATATCTGCTATCTGCTATATAATTATTATTTTATCGCTCCATATTTTGTATTTTCTGCTTTCCATCTTTTAACCTATTCCTAATATTATTCCTCCTTTCGCTCTACCTTTTCTATGCTCTCTTGTCACTGCTATACACTTCCACTCAAAACTTTTTGACAACTCACTTTCTACACTAGTCCACTTATCCTGCTCTAACCACGTTTCTACTAACACTATTATATCAAAACCACTCAAGTACTTCCACACTTCACTGTTCTTATTTAACACTCCCGCAACGTTCTACGCACAAATACTGACATTCCTTCTTCTCACTCCCTCCTTCTCTCTATCTTTTCGTTCTCTTCATTCTTGCCTCCTGCTTCTTTCTTCAGTGAGCTCTTATTTCTGTTCATCATACCTAAACCACTTTCCGTCGACCATCATCTTCATATACCCAATTTTTGTATTCTTTTCTTTACTGCTCTGCTTTTTTGATTTGTTTAAAATAGTTCTTTGAATCTCTCTTTCTTCCTGTGTTAAATCGCTATCTATGCAAACTCCTCTCTCCATGTATTTTGTATTCCTTATTACTTTTTCTTACATTTTTTTGTTTAGCAACCTTACTACAACTATCTTCCCCACATTTTGCCCATGATTCACACTTATTTCTTTAGCTTTCTCTACTTTTACTTTTACTTTGATCTTTTGTTCAATGAATTTTTATATATTCTTTTCTAGATTCTCTTTTTCAATATTTGCTTCTTTGATCACAATGTTCGGTCTCTTTTTTTCTCTCTCATCTTTTTCTTTTTCCCATTCCAACTTGCTTATTCTTTCTCCTAGTGCCTTTTTTCTGTCAACTGTTGTCCCTCTTTTATCTACATCTGTTTTGCCTCTTTCCAATATTCTTCTCTTCTTTCTAGAATACTAATCACACTGACAAACTCATTTTCCAATCTTATCATTTTATCGTTTAAATCTTTATTTTTTTGACTTTCTTTTGTGAAGTTTTACTAAGACTGCTCCTTTGGTTTCACATTTGCATTATTTCTTGTGTTTACGTGTACACCCGTCACATTCCCGGTAATTTATAGGTTCTTGTCGATACCACAGATTTCTTCTGTACCGGCTTTTCCACGTTGATCCATCAGAAATCCTCTTTAACGACATTCATCGATAATGCAGGAATCTTTCTTATCGATCACTTTAGGCATCTATTCTTTTATGTAGTGTAGATCTTCCAGAAATCTTTCTTATCGACTCCTTATTTTGTTGACCTCCCTTCTTCTTTATTTACCACTATTTTATTTGCCCAGTGACCTTTCGTATCTACCTCTCAGCTTGCTCCTTTTTATAGACCACTTTCTCCAGTTGCCGCTTCCTTTTTCCTATACTTTACTTACCTTACTTTTCTCTCGCACTTCACTGCACTTTTTTACTTTTTCTCATCTCACCACCACTACTTTAACACAGTTTTCCTGTCTTTTTGTCACTTGTTTTTCTCTTTACTATCACCTTCTTTTATAATCTGCCTTCTTCTTTACTCGCTACTTTTTATCTTCCACGTGTACCGTTCCCTTTTCATTGACACGACCTTACTAATCTCACTTTATCCTTTCAATTTCTTATATTTGTTCACCTTCAACTTTCTCCTCTGCTATTTTTCTAGTTTCTACACTTAATTGTACCTTTATTTTCTTTTATTTTTGTTTTAATACCTTCTTCATATTCAATTCTCCTGAGCGCTCACTCGACACGTCCGCTCTTTCTCGCAGTCACAACGGAACTCCCTTTTTACATCTTAATAAAGCAACGTATAATTGTCCGTAAGAGAATAAAGGTTTTTTAATATACAATCCTAAGGAATTAAAACTCTGTTCTTGTGATTTGTTGATAAACATAGAACATGCTAATACAAAGGGAAACTGTTTCCTATAGAAGACAAAAGGTAGTGATGATGAGGTGCCAGTATTCAATGTTATTCTAGGAATATAAACTTTGCTTTCTTTTTTTTCTTTCGTTATTATTTCCGCTTCTATATTATAATTGAATAATTTTGTTATTTTTAATCTTGTGCCTCTACAGAGATCGTCCGATATACTTAAAGTTCTCATTAACACTACTATAGCATTTATTTTTAATTTTAATTCGTGTGGTGGAAGACCTTCTCTGATATTATTTAAAAATTCTATTGGAAAATNTGTGTGTGTGTGTGTGTGTGTGTGTGTGTGTGTGTGTGTGTGTGTGTGTGTGTGTGTGTGTGTGTGTGTGTGTGTGTGTGTGTGTGTGTGTGTGTGTGTGTGTGTGTGTGTGTGTGTGTGTGTGTGTGTGTGTGTGTGTGTGTGTGTGTGTGTGTGTGTGTGTGTGTGTGTGTGTGTGTGTGTGTGTGTGTGTGTGTGTGTGTGTGTGTGTGTGTGTGTGTGTGTGTGTGTGTGTGTGTGTGTGTGTGTGTGTGTGTGTGTGTGTGTTCGTACACTCCGGGGTGATGAGGGTTTAGTATATATGTAATGGGACAAAACGCGTTAACCGGATCACTGGTACCCTCAAAATTCTATTTTACCGTTTAACACTTTTTGCGGTCTTAAACTGAAGGTTAACAAGTATACTTCATTTTGCCGTGTGAGCTTCTTGGTGGCAAAAATTTGTGTAAGCCATCATGACTTGTCGATTTCACAATTATTTAAGTGCTGAAATCGTCGTAACATTTAGAAAAAGACATTTTTTCAACATCTCTATCTTATAGGCTCTATTTCGAGATACAAATATAAGATACTTTTTCTCTTCTCTTTCTCTTTTTTTTCTCCCAAAAAAATTCTTTGAACACGGCGTAATAATCTTATTCCATAATTTTTTGTTGCCTCATGTGACCAAATGTTATGTAAAACTTATTTACAAAGAATTTTCTTGAGGTTAAAGATACAAAACTGTGTTCTTGGACATAGTAAGGTGAGACTTCTATCCTTAGATCTGTATAACGTTCAAATAAATTTATTCTGTACTTCTAAAGATCTCTTAGTGACTAGAAACTACATAAAACTGATTTTTTAGGATTTTTTTGAGGTTAGGGGTATGCTGGTGTGTACATTCATACAGAGCAGGATGTATTTGCATGAAACAACAGATATTTATCAGTAATAAGCTGTATTTCATGATTTTCAAACATTTTCAGATACTATAAACAAAAAAACTTGATTTTTCTACAGTTTTTTTAAGTTATAAACGTACTTCTGCTCACAAAGAGAAAATATTTGTACCTAGAAATAATGCAGATGTTGGAAAAATGTCTTTTTCTGAATGTTACGATGATTTGAGCACTTAAATAGTTATGAAATCGATTAGTCATGGCGGCTTAAACAAATTGTTGCCACCCTACTGATCTGCCATTTTGGATTTTTCAAAAAGCGCACATGGCGGAATGAAATATACTTGTTAACCTTCAATTTAAGACCACAAAAGTGTTTAACAGTAAATCAGAATTTTGACCAGTGGGGCTTCGCGCACTAACCTCCTAAGAAATATGAAAACTTAGAAATATAATAACTTTATATGATTTTAATTTAGTATCTACAGAAAAATAAACTTGCCACATAAATAATCAATTGTTACTCAGTTTTTTTACTTTTTCTAATGATGTTTCTGATATTCCAATATACTTAAAATATACTGTTACGTCGGCGCGACGTACTATTCGAGTTTAAGCTTTCGCTTAACAACTTGGGACACATACTGGGCACATAAATAGGACACGGAGCTAAAGGGGTAGTTTTAATTAACAACACGGTATTTGCAAAAGGGCTACAACTGCTTTACCTAACTAGAACCGACTACTGTGCAATATTCCGATGCACTTGCTCGCGGCTCGTCTAAGGTTGGTTGACTTTACCTGGAGT